AGACAGGTGGCCAGGGCGGCATGGGGGCCGAGAGGGCAAGGCTATAGAAGAGAGAAAAGCAGATTAAAAAAAAAAACAAGCAAAACATGAACATTTTACAAAATGTCAGGCATTCTTTACAATTTTTTTGTAAATTAATTTTCATTTACACTTGTTTGTGTGTAGGTATATGCATGCCACAGCACACATGTAGCAGTCAGAGGGCAGCTTTTGGAAATCAGTTCTTTTCTTTCACTGTATATGTCCCAGGGTTTGAACTCAGGTCATCAGCCTTGGCTACAAGACCAAAGAAAGCAAAAATACTTTGCTCATTGAGTCATTTCAATGATCTAGTCAGGCATTCTTCTGCATACTTTATGTGCAGCTTATCAATGCACTCTTACAGAGCCTGTAAAGTACTATTACGGTATGTATGTGTGTGTGTACTCAAGAACACACATGAGTGTTTCAAATGATTGCCTTAAACTTCCTAAGTACCAGAGAATGGCCTTGACCTCCTAAACCTCCTGTCTTGACCTCTAGAGTGCTGGGACGACAGGTGTGTGCCTCCACACTCAGGATGTAGCACTATTTATGTCTTCACTTACAGATGGGGATGCTGAGATCCTAGAATGTTAAGCAATTTGCTGTGATTAAGAACAAGGATGATAGAGGCAGGAACCAGAGTCCTCTGCAGGTCCGGGAATGAGTCTGTGACCTCCAAGGGTGTAGATTAGAGTCAGAGTCCTTTGCAGGACTAAGCCCAAGTCAGGGACCTTGGCAGGAGCAGACCCAGACCAGGAACATTTAAGGAAACAGGACTGAACCAGAGACCTAGGCTGGCCCAGGCCTCAGATAGCGAACTCTACAGGAGCAGATACAAGGGAGCAACCGCTGAGGGAGTAGACCTGAGCCAGGACCTCTGCTGGTCCCTTTGAGAATCCGGAACCATTGAGGAAGGAAGAGGTGCTGAGCCAGGACCTCTTCCAGAGCAGGCCTAAGGCAGCAACCTCAGCAGAAAAAGTCCCAAGCAAGTTATATCTGTGGGAGCATGCCCAGATGACCCCTGCTATTGCAGAACAAACCCAGGGAGTGCCAAGCAAACTCTAGGAACACGGCTTGACTAATGGGTGACTGGAACTGTGGCCCTGACTGTGCCACAAGGAGCAACCATCTGAACCTTAGATCCACTGGCACCTCGAAGATTGATCATCGGAGTCACAAACAGCCTCAACTATACCAATCAGAGGGCAAGATGGGTAGACAAGTTAAGAACACATACAACACCACAAAGAGAAACACTACACCAGTAAAAACTAGTGACCCTACAATAGCAGGACTTGAACAACCAAATATAGATAAAATAGAAGAAAATGAACTAAAAGGTAACTTTAGAAGAATGTTTGAGGCCCTTAAAGAGGAAATGAAATATTTCCTCAAGGGGGGCGGGGAGAGGGAGTGCAGGGAATGAGAGGGTATGGGGAGGAGGGGAGGAAGTGGAAATTTTTATAAACAAATAAATAAATAAATAAAAGAAATGGGAAAAAAGAAATATTTCCTCAAAGAAATGAAGGAAAAGACAAACAAAACATTGGAGCACATCAACAAATCCCTTAAAGAAAACCATGAAAAAGAAATCAAGCATATGAAAAAAAAACTATTCAAGACTTGAAAACTGAAAAAGAGACAATAAAGAAAACACAAGCTGAGGGAATTATAGAAACAAATCATTGGAAAACAATCAGGAACCACAAATACAAGCATAAACAGAAAAATAAGAGAACTAACAGATGTTATGACTCAAATGAACTTAACAGATATCTATAGAACATTCCATCTAAACATAGAAGAATATGTCTTCTTCTCAGCACCTCATGGAACATTCTCAAAAATTAACTACATACTAGGTAACAAAACAAACCTCAATAGATGCAAAAAAAATTGGAATAACCCCATATATCTTACTAGATCACCATGGCTTAAAATTAGGATTCAACAGCAATACTAATTCCCGAAATCCCACAAACACATGGAAATTAAACAATGCTCACCTGAATCATCAATGGGTCAAGGAAGAAATAAAGGGAGAAATTAAAGACTTCCTAAAATTTAATGAAAATGACCATACAACATATCCAAAATTATGGGAGACAATGAAAGCAGTGTTAAGAGGAAAGTTCATAGCACTAAATGCCTATATAAAGAAACTGAAAAAAATCTCACACTAGTGAATTAACAGAACATTTCAAAACTTTAGAACAAAAAGAAGCAAACTCAACCAGGAGAACTAGACAGTAGGAAATAATCAAATTGAGAGCTGAAATAAACAAAATAGAAACAAAGAAAATAATACAAAGACTCAATGAGACAAGGAGTTTGTTCCTTGAGAAAATCAACAAAATAGACAAACGTTTATCCAAACTAAACACAAGACAGAGAGACAATATCCAAATTAACAAAATCAGAAATGAAAAGGGGGATGTAACAACAGACATTGAGGAAATCCAGAGAATCATTAGATCATATTTCAAAAACCTGTACTCCACAAAATTGGAAAACTTAAAGGAAATGGACAACTTTCTGAATAAACATCACTTACTAAAATTAAAAAATTAAATCAAGATCAGATAAATTAAATAGACCTCTAACTGGTAAAGAATAGAAATAGTCTCGCAAAAAAAAGCCCAGAACCAAATGGTTTCAGCACAGAATTCTACAAGATTTTCAAAGTAGAACTAATACCAATACTCCTCAAATTGTTCCACATAATAGAAACAGAAGGAACATTGCCAAATTCTTTTCATGAGGCTACAATTACCCTGATACCCAAACTACATAAAGACATTACTAAGAAAGAGAATTACAGACCAATCTCACTCATGAACGTTGATCCAGAAATATTAAATAAAATACTGGCAAATTGAATCCAAGACACATCATCCACCGTGATCAAGTCAGCTTCATCCCAGAGATGCAGATGAAAATCTGTCAACATAATCTACCATATAACAAACTGAAAAATAAAAACCACATGATCATCTCATTAGATGCTGAAAAAGCTTTTGACAAAATATAATATCCCTTCATGCTAAAGGTCTTGGAGAGAGCAGGGATACAAGGAATACACTCAAATATAATAAAAGCAATATACAGCAAACAAACATGTAACATCAAACTAAATGGAGAGAAACTCACACCAATCCCACTGAAATCAGGAACAAGACAAAGTTGTCCACTCTCTCCTTATCTATTCAATATAGTTCTTGAGGTCCTAGCTAGAGAAACAATATACCAGAAGGAGGTCAAGGGGATACAAATCGGAAGAGAAGAAGTCAAACTCTCACTATTTGCTGGTGATATGATAGTTTACATAAGTAACCCCAAAAATTCTACCAAGGAACTTCTACAACTCATAAACAGTTTCAGTAGTGTAGCAGGTTACAAGATTAACTCAAAAAAAAAATCAGTAGCCCTCCATTATACAGATGATAAATGGATTGAGAAAGAAATCAGAGAAACATCACACTTCACAATAGCCACAACTAGCATAAAATATCTTGGAGTAACTCTAACCAAAGAAGTGGAAGACTTGTATGACAGGAACTTTAAATCTTTGAAGAAAGAAATTGAAGAAGACACCAGAAAATGAAAAGATCTCCCATGTTCTTTGGTAGGTAGAATTAACATAGTAAAAATGGCAATCTTACCAAAAGTAATCTACAGATTCAATGTAATGCCCATCATAATCCCAGCAAAATCCTTAACAGACTTTGAAAGAATGGCACTCAACTTCATATGAAAAAGCAAAAAAACCAGGATAGCCAAAACAAAACTGTACAATAAAGGAACTTCTGGAGGCATCACAATCTCTGACTTCCAACTCTACTACAGAGCTACAGTCCTGAAAACAGCCTGGTATTAGCATAAAAACAGATAGGAGGACCAATGGAACTGAATCGAAGACCCGGATATTAATCCACACATCTACAAATACCTGATTTTTGACAAAGAAGCAAAAAATATAAAAAGGAAAAAAAAGCATATTTAACAAATGGTGCTGGTATAACTGGATATTAACATGCAAAAGAATGAAAATAGATCCATATCTAACACCATGCACAAAACTCAAGTCCAAATGGATCAAAGGCCACAACATAAAGCCAGCCACACTGAACCTCAGAGAAGAGAAAGTGGGAAGTACACTTGAATGCATTGGCACAGGAGACCTCTTTCTAAATATAACCTCAGTAGCACAGACACTGAGAAAAACAATTAATAAATGGGACCTCCTGAAACTGAAAAGCTTCTAAAAAGCAAAGGACCCAGTCAACCAGACAAAATGGGAGCCTACAGAATGGAAAAAGATCTTCACCAACCCTGTATCAGACAGAGGACTGATGTCTAAAATATACAAAGAACTCAAGACATTGGTCATAAAAAGAACAAATAATCCAATAAAAAATGGAGCACAGACCTAAACAGAAAACTCTCAACAGAGAAATCTCAAATTTCTAAAAGACACTTAAGGAAATGTTCAACATCATTAGTCATCAGAGAAATGCAAATCAAAACAACTCTGAGATTCCATCTTATACATGTAAGAATGGCCAAGATCAAAAACACTGATGACAACTTATGCTGGAGAGGTTGTGGGGAAAAGGGAACACTCCTGCATTGCTGGTGGGAATACAAGCTGATACAACCCCTTTGGATGTCAGTGTGGCGATTTCTCAGAAAATTAGGAAACAACTTTCCTTAAGACCCAGCAATACCACTTTTGGGTATATATCCAAAGGATGCTCAATCGTGCCACAAGGACATGTGCTCAACTATGTTCGTAGCAGCATTGTTTGTTATAGCAAGAACCTGGAAACAACCTAAATGCTGCACGACAGAAGAATGGATAACAAAGATGTGATACATTCACACAAGGGAGTACTACACAGCAGAAAAAGTAACAACATCTTGAATTTTGCAGGCAAATGGATGGAGTTAGGAAATATCATTTTGAGTGAGGTAAACCAGACCCAGAAAGACAAATATCATATGTAATCACTCATAAGTGTTTTTTAGACATAAAGCAAAGGAAACCAGCCTACCAATCACAATCCCAGAGAACCTAGACAACAAAGAGGACCCTAAGAGAGACATACACATATCTAATCTACATGGGAAGTAGAAAAAGAGAATATCTCCTGAGTAAATTGGAAGCAGGGGGATCGTGGAAGAGGGTTGAAGAGAAGGGGAGAGGAAGGTGGGGAGCAGAGAAAAATATATAGTTCAATAAAATCAGTTTAAAAAAAAGAACAAGGGTGATGGACCATGCCTTTGGGAAGCAAAGTCAGATGTCTTTGAAGTCAAGGCCAGTCTGGTCTACATAGCAAGTCGCTACAAGCCAAATCTATGTAGTGAGATCCTGTCTCAAAACAAACAAATAAAAGAACACAGATGGCTGTAGATGCATCCAAGTTTGTAGAACGCTTACCTAGTATATTTGATGCTCTTGGTCCAAATCTCATCACTGAATAAACCATTTCTGTCAGCTTCTGGCCTGTAACTCAGGAGGTGGAGGGAAAAGGATCAAAAATTTGAGGTGGTGTCTGCAATATGGCTCAGTGGGTGAAGGCATTTACTGAGCAAGCCTGGCGACTTCAGTTCATTTCCCCAGGGCCCATGCGAATGTGGAAAGTGCGAACTGCCTCCACAGAGCTTTCCTCTGACCTCACACACACTCATTATGACACATATGCACTCATATCCACATCACATATACACATACATAACAATCATAAACAGATAAGTAATTTTTAAAAGCCATCAAGATATCTCCATCTCCAAAGTTGATTGAGTTTGATCCTGGAACTCACATGGTGGAAGGAGAAAATCCAATTCTACAAGTTGCCCTCTGACCTCCACACCTTTGGTGTGCCATGCATGGCTACACACACACACACACACACACACACACACACACACACCCATACACACACACAATGCAACATTTTGTTTTTCAATTAAAAATGTTCTAGCTTCATCCTTGGCTACATAATAGGTTCAAGGCCAACCTGTGTTACTCAAGCCTGTTTCAAAAGAAAACAGCAAGTATGCTGGCATGCGCCTTTAATACCAGCACTCAAAAGGTAGAAGAGGGTGGATGCCTGTGAGTTCAAGGCCAGCCTTCTACACACACCACATTCCAGGCCAGCTAGGGCTTCATTGTGAGACCCTATCTAAAATGACAAAATAACAAAAAGCTCAGTTGAATAATACAAAAACCCACTCAAAACTAACAATTGGAAACAGTGTGAAAAAGAGATGATAATGACCCCCATGCAGACCAAGGATGTGTACCAGTTCATGCCTGCATTCAGTGCTTAGCTCCTGCTGTCTTCACTACACACCAAGAAAGGTTGACCGGGAGCCAAAAGTATACAGAATCAAGGCGCAGGGTGAACACTGAAAAGATCTACATGACTGTCTGTTCAACCTGCTCCTCCAAAGATAAAACCTGAATCCCAAGAGGTCCCTTCAAAGTAGAGAGAAGGTACCCAAAGAGAGAGGGGAAAAGCTGATGCTGGCAAGGATGAGTAGAACATGGAGGTGCCAGGGCTTGGGAATGCAGCTCAGCTGGTAGGTGCTTGATTGCCTAGTGTTCACAAAGCACTGGGTTTGATTCTAAGTTTAAATTCAACATTAGGTGATGTTCTGGAATAATCCTTCTGCACACTGTGAAGATATGTTGCTCTCATTGTTAATAAAATGTTGATTGGCCTATGGTGAGGCAGAATTTTCAGGGCAGAGAGAATGCTGGGGAGAAGGGCAGGGACCAAGGAGATGCCATGGGATGCAAGGCGAGCAGGACCGGAAGTATGTACGTAAGGTAAACACATCCTTGGGGCAGCACATATATGAATAGAAATGGGTTAAGATAGCTAATGACAAACTGAGCTATCGACTGAGAATTTATAATTACTAATAAGTCTCTGCGTGGTTAATTGGGGAGCAGCTGGCAGGACAGAGCTGATCGGTGGTCTAGGTGGAAAACTCTGCCTACAAGGTGAGGTCAGACTTGAACTTCTGACCCTGCTTTTTTCCAGAGTGCCAAAATAGCAGGTTTGCACCACACTGTCCCATAGAAGCTGCATTTACTGTTAGTGCTTGAAGAGTCCAAGAATAAGAATATAGAAATGTAGATTCCAGAAATAGGAATGTCGAAATAAAGAAATATAAAGTTGCAAGCCTAGGAGAATGAGAGCAGACTGTCAGTTGCTTTCCCAGTAGTTTAAGGATTAACTATTAACCGTGGGTTACTCCGCTTTACAACCCATAGTTCTATTTGCGAGGCTGAAGCGGCCCTCTGCAAACTTACGGTCACTCTGCAAACTGAGAATCAGCTTTTAGATACCCTCCCCCATTACTCAATACCAGAAATTGATGTGAGCTGAATTAACTTTTAAATGATGGGATGTACGTAACTTTTGACTTCTTGGTTTTATATTGTCTCATACCCTTCCCTGCTATGCGAAACTGGCAGTCAGGGGAGGTCCAGAGCCTGGGTCAACACTATCAAGGAATGACAGGAAAAACGATGGGCTAAATACAAGCACTAATTTAAATGAAAAACTCTGTTAATGGAAATTGTAAAGAAGGGAAATTTGTATCCGAGTTTTACCTTGAGATTGTAAAAGTTCTTTTGTTATTACCCAAGGCTTGCTATAAAAGGAGGAGTTTAAAAACCGGCCTTTGCCACAGCCTTACAAATCCATCTCTGACTGTGGGTCTCAGCTAGCTGATAAGCTTTATGTGCCTCATGGAGATTTATTTTTAATTTTTTAAATTTTTTTTGGAATAAAGTTTGTTTCTAGTTTATTGGATGCTGGTAGTCTGTCTGTTCTCATCTTTGTGTGACCCCCGTGGACCCAACAGTGTTCTTCTTTTTTTTTTAATTTATGTGACTGTGTGTATGCCATCTGCGTTACAGTGCCAGCTGGAGCCAGAAAAGGGGATTGAATTTCCGCAGGCTGAAGTCACAGGCAGCCGTGGGTCGCCCAAAATGAAGCCAGGCAAACACTCAGGTCTTTTGGAAGAGTCACAAGAGTTCTTAACCTTGGAGCCCTCTCTTCAGCCTCTTGCTGTCACATTCATCAGTTCTGACATCCTTAAGCTTTAAAGTTTGGCTTCAAGGAGGTGAAGGATAGATATTTTTCTATCGCCAATTGTGGAGATGGCTTCAAGAGTTAGTACTTGTAAATTCGGGACGTTGTATATATTATATATGTACAACCATTTGTATGTCTTTTATAACGTCAATAAGATATTTTTTCTTTATTATCCGTGCTAGGGATAGCATCCTGTGCCTTGCCCAAGTTAGGCAAGTACTGCTAGGCTAGAAGTATGCTGTTACAGCCATAGTTCTAACCACTGTACTACACTTCCCTGGCAGGAAAAAAATAAAAAGTACAATAAAACCCATCTAAGGGCTGCAGAGCTGGCTCAGTGGGTGATGTAGAGGCATGCGCATGGGTGAAGGCCGAAGTTTGACTCCTAGAACATGTGTAAACACTGTGTGTGGTGTGCCTGGAACCCAAGCACCTGGGGAGGTGGAGACAGCAGATCCCAGGGGCCTACTGCCCAGCCAGTCTAGCTGAAACAGCAAGCTCAGTGAGATTCTTTATCTTGAAAAATAAAGAGGATCTTTATTTATGTGGCCGTTTGCTTACTTTTCTAGAAGACTGACCTGTTACCTGGGTTCTTCTTTCTACATACACCCGGAACATTTCCTCCAGCCTGGTACTGATGGCTGACAACCAGCACCTTCCCTGGCAGGAGTGGTGGCCCACATCTGGGAACAACTCAAGTATCTCTCTCAGTGACCATCCATTTTGGGCTTAGAGGGTGCTGGTAGCAGGATGGATCTCTGCCTCAGTCCTCCAAGGGACTGAACACAGGCATATCAAGGCTGCGTAGCTGGTCACTGTGTCTTTGTGCCTGAGGCTCTAGACACACCCCTGCCTCCTCTAGGGACACTGTATCTGGGATACTCCAGCCAAGAGCATAAAGCAACTGTACCCATTGTTCTTTAGTGACTGAGCAGAGTTTCTAGCAAAACTTCATTCAGAGAGAGAGAGTGAGAGAGGGAGAGAGAGAGGGAGAAAGTGCATGTTTTTATGTGGATTCTCAAGTACCACCCCGAACCCAGCTGCTGGGAGGATCCTACAGATCTTCCTTACTTCCCTTTCAGGCTCACCTTTGGGTTGGGCATATGATGAATATAGGAGTCCATTACTTCTTTGAGGGAGGCATCAATGCCTTCAATTTCTTCCTTTCTGAGGAGGTAGCAAGAGAGATGCTGCTCCCTCTGAAGACTGTGAGTGCTTGGTGAGTAAAGGCCACTTGGTTTTTCACTATGAACCATTGTCCTGAGAACCTCTATGGGCAATAATATGTGCACTGACCCTCCCTTGCTTGCTGGCTGTGGCCCGAAAAATCAAAACTAGGTCTCTCCTGCATGAGTTCTGTTCAAAACCTACCCAGCCACCCTTGGGCTGGCAGAACCCCAGTTTTTCCTTCTCTAATCATTATCAGTTAACAATTCACTGCCAATTGAAACCACTTTCCCTGCACAAGAACCATAATACAACTTAAAGTAAAATAAAATATGATAGAGAACAATTAGAGAGAACATTCTGACCTCTGCCTGGTCTCATGTACTTCTTCACAGGAGAGTGAACCCACACCCATACTGCACTCTCAGACACACACACACACACACACACACACACACACACATGCATGCACGTGTAACACACATGATTTCAGGAATACACACATATACCATACACATACTCACATACTGATATATTTCACACACACCCATATCACACACACACACACAGGCACGCACACAAAGACACAGACACAGACACACACACACACACACACACACATACATCACACACACACAGACACATACATACCAAATCAAAAAGCCCACAACCTATCTCAGCTGATGACCACCCCCTCCCCACCCCCATATTCCAAAGTCACTCACCCATATTCCTCATGTTCCCAATGGCTGTTGGTGTCACCAGGATTGGAGATATGCCTGAAGGGAGTGGCTGGTCAGTCACACTCCTGAAGAAACAATGAGTACGAACTTAGATGGAGGTTGGCCAGGTGAAAATTTGATTAGCAAAGAACGTACCATGAATGACTGATTATCTCTCCTCTGCCTAATCCCAGGGCACAACACTAAAGGGAGCACTGATGGGGCGGCTATAATAGGAGGAACACACATGCAAGAGAACAATCTTATCAGTTCATTAACACTCAAGATAAGATAAACAGAATTTCACAGCAAATGAGAAACTACAGTTTCCTTGGGCACTAGACTCTAGGAAGAACAATTCATTTTGTCATTCATTGTCATTACACAAACAGGCAGTAGGGACTATAACAACACCCCTTACCCCAACCCGCCCCGCTTGCCTTTTTGACACCAGCTGTAATGCCCATGAGTCACAGGCTGGACTTGTTTATATTCACTATGCAGCCAAGGACGGCCTTGAACTAGTTTTGTTTTGTTTGAGTTTTAGTTTTTCAAGACAAGGTTTTTCTGTGTAGCCCTGGCTGTCCTGGAACTCACTCTGTAGACCAGGCTGGCCTCACACTCACAAAAATCTACCTGTCTCTGCCTCCCGAATGCTGGGGTTAAAGGTGTGTGCCACCACTGTCCGGTGTCCTTGAACTTGTCACTTTTCTGCCTCCATTGTAATGTCACCCTCGACCACACTAAGAATACAAGACCACTCTGAGCTGCAGGAATCTCTAAATAATGACGACAGTGAGATGCCTCCATGAGTAAAGGGGCTTGGCTGCCAAACCTGACAAACTGGGTTTGATACCTGGTCCCACGTGATGGAAAAACAGAACTGACTTCCTCAAGTTGTCTTCTGACCTCCACATAACTATAGTTAGGACTGGGACACATTCGATATTCTAGATGTCTTACCCAGCCATCAGTTTCTCATCATGCCGTGTGGTCACCTTCAGGTAACTTCCACTGGAGTGACCGACTAAAGCATCGCAGGGCAGGGTAGAGGGTTGAGCACAGAACCAGAGCTCCCCAGAGACCACATCCCTGTACTGGCAGGTGGGCCCTTTGGCTCCAGTCGACTGGGGGTCCACGTTGCAGATCACAGTCTCTTGAGTGCCATTCCTGCCTCGAAAATACCCCCTAAAGTCAACGGTGGCCCGTTTTACTTTCCAGACCCTCTGTAGGACCCCAACTGCCTCACTGGAGTGGATCAGCCTCACTTGCACCTGGGCCGGTCCAGCCCAGAGCAGGGGGAAGGACAAGAGGTACGTGCCATTCTCCAGATCCTTCACCTCCCCTGGGACTCCTGCTTTCAATTCCTGCCCCAACAGCTTTGCCCGAAACAGATCTCCACCATGAGTCTTGGGCCTACCCTGGTGGTCCCTAGCCACAAGAATGGCCTCTAGATTACTTCCCAGAGTATAGGTGGCCTGAGCAGGACCCTTCAAGTGGTAGGTGGAGGTTCTGGGGCTGGTAGAAGCCAAAAAGTCATCCTTGTCACCACCAGTTGGAGGCCAGTACAGAAGGCTGGTCAGGTTGGTGAGTTCTTCAGGGAGAGAGTCCCAGTAGATGGGCTCAGAGGCATGCGTAGAGGCACGATAGGGTGGTGGGATCCAATGGTTCATGGGCTCAGGCCAAGACATCATGAGATAGAACACCTGTGGGAAAAGAAAGAGGGATATGACAGTGTGTTGTGTGTGCCATATTTTCTTCCTGGAAGGAGGTATTACAGTTGGCCAAGTAGCACCTAGCAGTCTTACCTAACTATGCCGTTCTATTTGTCATTCATAAGCCTGGTATTTGCGTCACCATGACCTTTATTTGAAAGAAACAGTTCAGAACTGGGTTGATACTGTTGCTCGAATTTCTGGGAAGTCACACTGGGCTCACCATATGTTACCAGGAAAATTGAAATTGGGCCCTGATGGAATTCTTCTTCTTCTTCTTCTTCTTCTTCTTCTTCTTCTTCTTCTTCTTCTCCTTCTCCTTCTCCTTCTCCTTCTCCTTCTCCTTCTCCTTCTCCTTCCTCTTCCTCTTCCTCCACTTCCTCCTCTTTCTCCTCCTCTGCCTCTTCCTCCTCCTCCTTCTTTATTTTCTTCTTCCTCCCCCTCCTCTTCTTCTTCCTTCCTTTTTCTCCCTCTTCCTCTTACTTCTTTAGACTTATATGCATGAGTGTTTTGTTTACATAAATACATGTATACCACATGCATCCTTGGTGCCCAAGAACAGAAGAGGGCATTGAATCACCTGGAACTAGAGTTACAAAAGGCTGTAAGCTGTCATATGGGTGCTGGGAGTCGAACCCAGATACCCTCTCTATAACAGACTGTGTTCTTAACTTCTGAGCCACCTCTCTAGCTACAAATGCCTCTTAGGTTTTTTCTTTTTAAACAGTGTGTGTGTGTGTGTGTGTGTGTGTGTGTGTGTGTGTGTGTGTCTATCTGTCTGTTTCTCTCTCTCTCTCTCTCTCTCTCTCTCTCTCTTTCTCTCTGTACAGACAAACTATTGTACTTGCACACTATGGCCTGTATGTGAAGGTCAGAGGGCAATTTATAGGGCCATAGCTCTCCTTCTACCATTTCCAGGATATCAAATTCAGGCCATCAGGTTTGACAATTAGCTTCCTTACCTGCTGAGCCATCTTGCAATTCCCAGTGTTGCCATTATCTGATGTGCTGGAGAACAGTAGCACTGATGCTTACAGATTCTGTAGACCCAAGAACTCAGAAGCTCATTGTGTACATTGCACTTGGGAGGCAGAGTTAGGAGGATCTCAGCCTTGTTTGCAAAGCAAGCTCCAGGACAGCTAGAGCTGTTACACAGAGAACCCCTGTCTTGGAAAAAATAGAGAAAGAAACAAGGTTTATCTGTGTTGCTCTGACTGTCCTAAGACTCACTTTGTAGACAAGGTTGACCTCGAACTCAGAGATCAGCCAACTTACATCTCCTTAGTGCTGTAATTAAAAGTGTGTGCCAGCATACACAGTACAGTAATTTTTCAATAAAAGAGAATTTACATAACCAAAAAATCTATGACTAGATCCTCTACTGAATTACTAAGAAAACGAATAAAACCACTTTGGAATTGTTCTATGTATTCATAAAAATGATTTAAGTGACAATTGATAAGTAATCATATTGGTAAGAATAGAAAGCAACCGTATCTCTCAAGTTATATTAATGAAAGTTGAGCTGGAGAGATGGCTCAGTGGTTAAGAGCATTCATTGCCTGCTCTTCTAAAGGTCCTGAGTTCAATTCCCAGCAACCTCATGGTGGCTCACAACCATCTGTAATGAGGTCTGGTGCCCTCTTCTGGCCTCCAGGCATACAAGCAGACAGAATATTGTACTACGTTCATTTTTGGGAGGAGGGGAGGAAGTGGAAAGAGTGTTTTCGGATACTTGAATAAACAAACAAACAAACAAAGTTGAATAGCTATTATTGTCATCTTTTAATGTATGTGTATGTTAGAACAAAGCAACTCATCTCATAGGTAAATACTCAATGCTAAGGTGTGGTATTCACTAAGATATATGGGATAGAAAGTTTACAGTTCAGTTGGGCAGTGAGAGGCAGAGGCAGGCAGATCTCTATTAATTTGTGGCTAGACTGATCTATGGAGTGAGTTCCAGCACAGTAAGGGCTATACAGAGAAACCCTGTTTCAATAAAAATGAAAAAAGAAAAGAAAAAAAGTTCACAGTAGCAGCATTGAGGACCCCTCCTGACTGTATCTCAGTTAATAGAGGGACCGTTTATCATGCACAAAGTCCTGAATTCTACTTCCTTCACAACAGAACCTGGTGTGGTGATGCCCACTGCAATGGCATCCCTAGGGAGAAGAATTCAGAAGGATGAGAAGTTCAAGGTCAGTGTAGAGGTCTAGTATATGTGAGGCTCTGGATTCCAAACTTAATGCTGCCAAATGTTAATGATGTGGGGGGGCAGTTGTTGAAGTTGTTCTTATATAACTTGCTATATAACAAGTTTGAGACAAGCCTGAGAAACATGAAGCTCTTATCTCAAAAAAGGGGGAAAAATCCCCAAACTGAAAGCAACACATATTTCTTTCATTTAATTTCCCTGCTTTCCTTTTCTAGTTTTCCTTTTTCTTCATTCCTTTCTTTTTTGAATTTTCTTGTTTTTGCTTTTGTTTTCTTTCTTTGTTTGTCTTGTGAGACAGTCTCTCTGCACAGCCCTGGCTGTCCTGGAACTCACTATGTAGTTCAAGATAACCACAAAAATCAGAGCTCCACCTGCCTCTACCTTCTGAATGCTAGGATTAGAGATGTGTTCTCTATATCAAATTTCTACCAACAATATAGTGGTTAAGTGAATCATGGTATATCCATAAACTGGATTGAGGTCATGAGACAAAATTAACAAATAACAGCTTCACGTAGTAACATAGATGCAAAATGTATGAATCTTATAAAACATAGTGCTCATAAAAACATGTTTCTTATGACTCTTCAAAATTAACGATACTATTATAAGTCGAAATGCTGGATACCTTGGTAAAAGAGAGAAATTCAAATCTGTTGATGATAGTAATTTTCTTAATTTTTATTTTTCTTTTCTCTCCCATCTCTCTTTTTTATTAAAAATTTATTTCATCTATTTATTTATGTGTGTGTTTGTGGCGGCACACATTTCATGGCACATATGTGGAGCTCTGGGGACAACGTTAGAGAGCCATTTCCCTCCTTCCACTATGTGGGTCTCAAGAGACTGAACTCAGGTCATCAGGCTTGGCAGCAAACACCTTTACCCCTGAACCACCCCACCAGCCCTAAGACTTTTTTTATTTTTTTTTATTTTATTTTTAGAAAAGACTCGCTATGTAGCATTGCCTGACATGGGACTTACTTTCTAGACCAAGCTGGTCTCAAACTCAGAGATTCATTTGCCTCTGTCTCCCAAGTGTTAGGATTAAAGGCGTATGTCGCTATGCCCAATCCTCTAATGTTATTGTTAAGACTTATTTTTATTATGTGTTCATGTGTGTTCTGACACATGTGTGAAGGTTCCTATGGAGGTCAAAGTTGGGCGTCAGATCCCTTGGAACACAAGGGACTGGAGTTACAGTCATTGTGAGTCAGAAAACATGACTGCTGGTAACAACTCAAGTCCTCTGGAAGAGCAGCAAGTATTTACACCTCTGAGCTCTCTCTAGTCTCCACCTTCCCCCATTACTCTGTTACGTGTCCCTCTTCACTTCCAGTTGATCCTCCTTCTACTTTTCTGTGTGTGCGTGTGTGTGTGCGCGTGTGTGTGCTCACGTGCCTCTGTTTGCCCGAATTAGTTTAATTAAGTTTAATAACAAGTGCATAGGCAAATTTCCCAGAGGCTCCACCACTGAAGGAAATCTCCTCTCCTCACAGCATCCCTTAATAACCTGTAGATTCAGGGAGAGGAGCGCTCTTCTGAGCTGCGCTCCAGTGATTACACTCATGATTGCTTCCCCTCCTACTTTGGGCGTTTTTGATGCAGATCTTAGGAATTGGCCTAGGGCTTTTTCCATAGGTCAACCTGCAACTCATAATTCTCTTTCCCTGCCTCCCAGGTGCTGGGACTCCACGTGGAGGGCCAGCTCTGGCTTGCCTGGGTTATAGTCACGTAGGTGCTTGTCTTTGTTTTCTCTTTGGACACTAGATGTATGTTACAGCTTAACTCCTTTCAGTATGTGTAAAGGTTGAGGGGATGGCAAAGAAGTTGACATAAACCTACAGAATGGAAAAAGATCTTCACTAACCTCACATCAGATAGAGGACTGATCTCCAAAATATATAAAGAACTAAAGAAACGACACATCAAATTACCAAATAATACAATCAAAAAGTGGGGTGTAGATCTAAACAGAAAATACTCAATAGGAATCTCAAATGGCCGAAAGATACTTAAGGAATTGCTCAACATCCTTAGCCATAAGGGAAATGCAAAAAATGACTCTGAGATACCATCTTACACCAGTCAGAATGGCTAAGACCAAAACCACCAACGATAGTTTATGCTGGAGAGGATGCAGAGTTAAGAGGAACACTCCTCCATTGCTGGTGGAAGTGCAAACTTGTACAACCACTCTGGAAGTCAGTATGATGGTTTCTCAGGAAATTGGGAATCAATCTTCCTCAAGACTCAGCAATACCACTCTTGGGCATATACTCAAAAGACGCACACTCATACCACAAGGACATTTTTTCAACTATGTCCATAACAGCATTATTTGTAAAAGTCAGAACATGAAAGCAATCTAGGTGCCCCTCATTTGAAGAATGGATAGAGAAAATGTGGTACATTTACACAATGGAGTACTACTCAGTGGTTAAAAAAAACAATGACATCTTGAAATATATATGCAAATGAATGGAACTAGAGAAAAACCACCCTGAGTGAGGTAACCCAAACCCAGAAAGACAAACATGGTATGTACTCACTCATGAGTGGATAGTAGATGTAAAACAAAGGATAACCAGCCTATAGTTCATGACCCCAGAGAAGCTAGGTTACAAAGAACTCTATGAGAGACATTCATGGATCCCCCTGGGAATAGGAGTTAAACAAGATCTCCTGAGATAATTGGGAGGGGGGAGGGAGAAGGCAGGACAGAAGAGGAAGGGGAGGAGAGGAGGGGAGAAGTGAAGAGAGGGGAGAACATGAGGGAATGGATGGACAAGAAGGGGGAAGGACAGAAAGGATGAGTAAGGAAAGAGATATCTTGATTGAGGGAGCCATTATGGGGCTAGCGAGACACCTGGCACTAGGAAATTCTCAGGAATCCACAAGAATGACCCCAGCTAAGACCCTAAGCAATAGTGGACAAGGTACCTTAACTGACCTTCCCCAGTAATCAGACTGATGACTACCTTAATTGTTGTCATAGAACTTTCATCCAGCAACTGATGGAAGAGATCCACAGCTAAGCATTGGGTTGATCTTCCAGAGACCAGTCCAAGAGAGGGAGGAGTGATAATATGAGTAAAGGCATCAAGACCATGTTGGGGATACCCACAGAAACTGCTGACCTGAGCTAATGAGAGCTCACTGACTCTGGATTGATAGCGGTAGAACCTGCTGAGTGTGGGGGACAGTTGTGTGTCTTGGGCAGTTTGTGGGGCCACTGGTAGTGGGATCAGGATTTATCCCTAGTGCTTGATCTGGCATCTTGGAGCCCATTCTTTTTGGAGGGAGGCTTTGCTCAGCCTAGATATGGGGGGAGGGTCTCGGTTCTGCCTCAAAGTGACTCCCCTTGGGAAGCCTTATACTCTTTGGGGAGTGGACATGGGACTGTGTGGTGGTGGGGGTGGGGGCGCAGGGGAATAGAAGGAGGGGAGGGAGTGGAAACTGGGATAGGTATGTAAAATGAGACAAGATTCTTTTTTTTAAAAAAAATCAGTTTTAAAAAGAGAAAAAGAAAAAAAAAAGCCTGCACTTTCACACAACACAAAGTTGCTATGGAAATGAAACCCGAAATCAACATCTTTTGAAAGAATGAATTCATCTTTTCTTAATCTCGTTCACTCTTTCATTGTTCTCAGAATCATATCTGATTTGTCTTCTTATATTTAAACCATTCATTTTATAGGAAAGAACAGAAATCTACATTTTCATGCAAAACTGTCTTGCTGTTTCAATACCAACAACACCCCATGAGTTAAAATTTCAGTTTTGACAGACACACAGGAAGAGCCTTCTCGCTGTCTTGACTTTTTCTTGTACACAGCTTCAAAGAGGAAACACTAGGTCACGCTAAACTCTTTTTCTTGCTTTTGCTCCAGGAAGGGTTTAGTTTCTTTCTTATTTGCGGTGTCAGTCATACACATATGCAATGCATACGGATCATATTCACCCCACTGTTGTCTACCATTCTCTCACTCTCACTGCCCCCTTTACCCACCCAGTCCTGCGTGTGTGTGTGTGTGTGTGTGTGTGTGTGTGTGTGCAAGACCTTTTCTGTTCCTTGACTTTATTTCCCTCCAGGCTAAAAGCAGAAGCAGACACCAAGAGACTTTGTTCTTTTAAACTAGGACAGAGAGAACAACATCTTCTAATGTCAAGAGAACTGAGAACTCAAATTGCTGATGTGGAACAGGGCCATGACCGTCTTTATCAGAGCTGCTGTGATGACAGGCAAGCCAGCCTCAACAAGGGCCAGGCAGTCTCTAGACTTTTGCCTGTGGAAGAATGACTGGGGGAGGGTCATTAGGTCCTCTCCTGGAATTCAGCTGCCTCCACCCTGAACCTTTTCCAGTTCTCTGCAGGTCTGCTCCAACTTCTCGCGGTGTCTGAAGGGGCTGGAACATGCAGAAGGTGGCAGCTGGAGCAGGGAGAACTCCATTTATGCAGCTTTAGGGAAGTTGTTTGTGGAGCCCATTTGTTGATGTGTTTGTTCGGAGATTATTTGTGCTCCTTAAGTAAGCCCAATAAACCCCCTTATTAAGCTATCTAGACTTAGGTAGAATTGCTCTTTTGTCTGTTGGCACTGCCCTACCTAGGGAAGCAAACATCTGGTCATTTCTTCCCAACCAAAGTCCATATACTCGCTCCTATTTTTTCTCCTTGGGGACTTCCTAAAAACTTCTGACTTTAGATTCCCTGATGACACAGCTGCTTACACTCTTCTTAGATGATGCTCTCCCCTGCAGCTGATGCTCCCAGATGTCTCTCAGGGGTGGGAGGAGGAAGAATGAATGCTTCCCTCAGTCCACTCTCCAATGTTAAAGCATTAACCAATCCAAACACAGAGAAGCAATGATGATATAAGAGGCAAGGAAAGTACTTACCAAAATCAGAACGATTAACCCCACAGTCAGGATCTTGTAGTCCTTCAATTGCCCCATGAATAGATCCACACAGCCTAGACTCTTGTTGCATTATAAGTACGAATCCAGGTATCTCACACAGCATCAGAAGTTTAAGAGGCCCTCCCATCGCAAAGGAGATGATTCACTGCATGGACTTCTAATATCCTTGAAAACTGTCACCTGACATATGTACTCACTGTCAGGTTTAGAGGGAAAAGGCTACAGCAGGAGCTTCGGCAATAGTTGCAGAGAGACTGAGGCAGAATTCAGGTGGAAAAACAGGAACTTAATTCACATACGTGATTTTGTGTGGGCAGACTGCAGGCTCACAGTGAGCCACCAGGAAGGTGTGCCCAAGAGAGTGTCCTCTCCCCATAGACACCCACGGGGAGCAAAGGGAAGACCTAATTTTTACCTTTCTCCCTGGGGGCTCTAGTAGAATACCTGGTTTAGCCATAAGAAGCAGGGAAGGAACGGGAAGTCTGTTTCCATGTGCACATCCAGTCAATAGGCTAGGAAGGGGCTAGTTGTTGGGAGCAGCACCCACGTTTGGAGCTTCTTATACCAGCATGCACGCTGCAGAGCAGTTAGTGGGGAGGCCGGGGAGGCTGAAGAAGCACAGAGCAAGAGACATTCTTTCTACTTGAACAAACAGTGCTGAGGTGGAGGGAGAAAAGGTGATGGGGGAAGGGAAACCATGTCAGAGAGAGAGAGAGAGAGAGAGAGAGAGAGAGAGAGAGAGAGAGAGCTGTTCTGGTTAGGGCTTAGAATGCCACATTTGGATAGGGATTTGATGTGTTTTGAAAGAATAGGAAATTTCTGTATGGGTCCAGATAATAGGATGAGGCGGTATTGAAAAGAGCAGATAACCTTTACAGGTTTCCTTTGTTTGTTTGTGTGCATGAAAGTCTCTGTGTAACTGTATGACACATGTGTGAAGGTGCCTGTAAAAGGCCGTTGTGAGCCCTCTGACAGGGGTCCTGGGCACTGAACTCAGTCCCTCGACCACAGCAAAGCTACTCTTCTTCTTGTTGTTGTTCTTTTCGAGACAGGATTTCTCTGTGTAACAGTCCTGGCTGTCCTGGAACTCGCTTTGTAGATCAGGCTGGCCTCAAATTCACTGAGATCCGCTTGCATCTGCCTCCTGAGTGCTGGGATTTAAGGCTTGCCCCGCCACTCCCTGGCCAGCAGAGCCATTCTTAACTGCTGAGCTGTCTCTCCAGTCTCAAAGGCCTTTTTAATGAGGTCTTTTTGAAGGATTTGTTGCCAATTTGGGGAACGTCCTCTTAATGTCTGAGGAAGATCAGGGTATAATCATTATCACCTGCCAGAGTAGAACTCAGCTATCGATAAGTTTAATGGAGGCCTGAGTGTCAGTAGTTTACCCTGAAGCAAAACCTGGTTACAGGAAAGACCATAACCTAAGATTACCTGAGCACCACCCAAGACCAGACCATCCAAAGGAAATGCCAAACGTTCCAACCACTGTCGATAGGATCATCTGCTAGCACACTCACTAGAACACCCCCAGACAAATGTCAGCCAACCAGGAGTTCTGAACCTCAGAAACCCCTCACCCCCACCTACTATTAAAACCCAACTCTAACTGAGCCTGGGGCTCTTAGCTTATTTCAATATGTTGGACATGTGGAGGGACTGAGTTTGCAAACTTGCATAAAATAAAGGCTCTTTGCTTTTACATACAGGACTCAGTCTCCTTGTTGGCTTTTGGGGGACTTTGTGGATTTGGGCATAACATTGGCCAAGACACATGTTAAAGCTAATAAAGCTGCTATTGCTAGGACAAGAGCAACGCCTGCTAGGATAAGAAATCTATTACAGTGATTTATAGGGTTGAATGATGCTATTGTGTTTGCAAGGCCTTCTGTAATATCCGTTCCTGTCGTATCAGGTAACTTTTTGCAAAAGTTTCTTTAATTTCTTTCTGTAAAGCATAAACCATTTGAGAAGAATTAGGGAGACCCATCAAATGCATCTTTTTAAAAAATATTTTTTATTGATATTTATTGAGCTCTACATTTTTCTCTGCTCCCCTCCCTGCTTCTCTCCTCCCCCCTCAATTCTCCCTCAACGTCCCCATGCTCCCAATTTACTCAGGAGATGTTGTCTTTTTATACTTTCTACTTCCCATGTAGATTAGATCTATGTAAGTCTCTCTTAGTGTCTGCACTGTTGTCTAAGTTCTCTGGGATTGTGATTTGTAGGCTGGCTTTCTTTGCTTTATGTTTAAAAACCACCTATGAGTGAGTACATGTGATAATTGTCTTTCTGTGTCTGGATTACCTCACTCAAAATAATGTTTTCTAGCTCCATCCATTTTCCTGCAAAATTCAAGCTGTTGTTATTTTTTTCTGCTATATAGTACTCCATTGTGTAAATGTACCACCTTTTTTTTTCAATCCATTCTTTGATCGAGGGGCATTTAGGTTGTTTTCAGGTTCTGGCTATGACAAACAAAGTTGCTATGAACATAGTTGAGCACATGTCCTTGTGGCACGGTTAAGCATCCTATGGATATATACCCAAAAGTGGTATCACTGTGTCTTGAGGAAGGTTGTTTCCTAATTTTCTGAGAAATTGCCACACTGACATCCAAAGGGGCTGTACCAGCTTGCATTCCCACCAGTAACGCAGAAGTGTTTCCTTTTCCCCGCAATCTCTCCAGCATAAGTTGTCATCAGTGTTTTTGATCTTGGTCATTCTTACAGGTGTAAGATGGAATTTCAGAGTTGTTTTGATTTGCATTTTTCTGATGACTAAGGATGTTGAACATTTCCTGAAGTGTCTTTCAGCCATTTTAGATTCCTCTGTTGACAGTTCTCTGTTTAGGTATGCACTCCATTTTTTTTTTTTTGATTATGTGATCTTTTGGTGTTCAATTTCTTGAGTTCTTTGTATATTTTGGAGATCAGTCCTCTGTCTGATGTGGGATTAGTGAAGATCTTTTCCCATTCTGTAGGTTGCCGTTTTGTCTTGTTGACCATGTCCTTTGTTTTACAGAAGCTTTTCAGTTTCAGGAGGTCCTATTTATTAATTGTTTCTCTCAGTGTCTGTGCTGCTGGGGTTCTATTTAGGAAGTGGTTCCCTGTGCCAATGCGTTCAAGTGTATTTCCCACTTTCTCTTCTGTGAGGTTCAGTGTGGCTGACTTTATGTTGAGGTCTTTGATCCAATTGGACTTGAGTTTTGTGCATGGTGATAGATATGGGTCTATTTTCATTTTTCTACATGTTGATATTTAGTTATGCCAGCACCACTTGTTAAATATGCTTTCTTTTTTCCATTTGATAGTTTTTGCTTCTTTATCAAATATCAGGTGTTTGTAGATATGTGGATTGATATCCGGGTCTTCTATTCAGGTCCATTGGTCCTCCTGTCTGTTCTTATGCCAGTCCCAGGCTGTTTTCAGTACTGTAGCTCTGTAGTAGAGTTTGAAGTCAGGGATTGTGATGCCTCCAGAAGTTCTTTTATTGCAAAGGATTGTTTTGGCTATCCTGGGCTTTTTGCTTTTCCAAATGAAGTTGAGTATCGTTCTTTCGAGGTCTTTGAAGAATTTTGCTGGCATTTTGATGGGCATTGCATTGAATCTGTAGATTGCTTTCGGTAAGATTGCCATTTTTACTATATCAATTCTGCCAACCCAAGAGCATGGGAGGTCTTTCCCCTTTCTGGTGTCTTCTTCAACTTCTTTCTTCAAAGATTTAAAGTTCTTGTCATACACGTCTTCCACTTGTTTGGTTAGAGTTACTCTAAGATATTTTATGCTAGTTGTGGCTATTGTGGAGGGTGTTGATTCTGTGATTTCTTCCCCAGCCCTTTTATCTTCTGTGTATAGGAGGGCTACTGATTTTTTTTTGAGTTAATCTTGTATCCTGCTACATTGCTGAAAGTGTTTATGAGTTGTAGAAGTTCCTTGGTAGAATTTTTGGGATCACTTATGTAAACTATCATATCATCAGCAAACAGTGAGAGTTTGACTTCTTCTTTTCCAATTTGTATCCCCTTGATCTCCCTTTAGTGTCTTATTGCTCTAGCTAGGACCTCAAGAACTATATTGAATAGATACGGAGAGAGCAGACAACCTCATCAAATGCAACTTAACCTTATCCCAATCATACTTGCTATCATTAAATCTTAAGGGTGCAGTACAGTAGAAAGAGACATTCCAATCACATTTTAATTTTATCTGGTTTTCAAAATTTCTTACTGATCCCCTAACAATATGACAACTTGCCTTAACTCGATTAATTCATTCACTGTCTCATTATCAACCTTGTTTTGTTCAGTCCAAAGTGCCGTTGAATGTTCTTGCCACTCTCTCATGAATTCAGCAGTTTGGGTTTCCTTATGAAGCGTCACTCCAGCTGTTGCTGCTGTAGCCGTCGATGCAATGAGTCCCATAATAACTGCAATAACCAGTCCAACCATTTGACCTGTTCTTTTCAATATTCTCTCAGTGAACTTCTGCACCTGGACCATCACAGGGAGAGCCTTGGCTGGCTTTCACAACCTCACTGGTATCCAGATTGCTGGCCTTGCTCTAAGAATATATAAACTTTCAAAGGACACATTTTAAAACATATTAGAATTAACCCAGGTATGAAGGGCACAGAGTTCGAAAGTGATGCTGTAACTATTAGGGTGCCATTGTGCAGTCTCTTTTAGTAGCAAGGAAAGAAACGGTACAATGCCATAAAAGGATGGCTTTAATTTGGTCTAAAAGACAAAGTATAGTTATCATCCTTAATGATTAATTTTCCTTCCCATGCCTAAAGAGGGTAGAAGGCACTTGGCAATTTCCACAAGTTAGTCTGAATTGAAGCGCCAAATTGTAGGACAGGACTTGCCATCCCAACTCCATGCCATCAGATAAGTCCATTAACAGAAGTACAAATTTCCACAGTACCATTCAAATTATACTGTTTCCATATTAACTCTGAGTGAAAATATCTTCCTTGAGGTGAGCCAAAATGGCTCCAGTCTATGACATCTCCTTGTGAGATATTAATTAGCATTTAAGGCCTCTTACTCTGACATTGTTGCCAACGCACCCAGTCAGATTCTTTGTTGCTGATCCGCATCTCACCGAACA